TCTAAGGATGGTGCTCAGCTACGGGACTGAATGGCATACATATACATATACATATACATATACATATACATATACATATACATATACATAACATATCATATACATATACATATACATATACGCAGCCTGGCATCTAATGTTATCCTTGAAATCCCTGCAAGGAACACAAGCAATCACACAAAACTTCTCAAATTTCACATGAGAATCCTGAATAAAATTATCAAAGGTATTTTAAGATGATGAACCTACTTTTAGAAATACCCAACCATTTCATATTATTAATCTCACTGAAACAATGCCCATATTTTTCTTATTTATTTATTTATTTATTTATTTATTTATTTATTTATTTCTCCCAAAGAAGCCCTGTGGAAGCTTTCCCATTCAAGCATGTTATTATCATGACACTCTAGATCATATTATGAGAAAATAAAACTAATGTTAAAATAATTCTTATTCAGGGCTCAGGATGTTAAGTCATTTTACAAATACAGAAAATAAGCCATGTTTAAGCCATTTCTTCTAAAGCTATAGGCAATCGGACAAGGTAACTGAATTTTTTTACAATGTTCTTCCTGAATAGTGAAGATATGTGCCTGTCCTCAATATAACATGATCTGAAAACAAGAGAAACAAACCCACAGAAAGAGATTTCTACTCAAGTCATGCCAAAAAGTACGAGACTGTATTACAGAAATAGCCATATATTTTTCTTACCTCTGTTTCAGTACAATGTGAATATCCCAATTTACCTGTAATAAAAATATAAAAAGTTACTTTCAGATGATTAAGGGCTTTTAAAATCATCAATAATATATATTCAAGCAATTACAGGCATCAATTAAATATATTAAACAAATGAATATAACAATTGCTGAAATGATTGTTTATGTACAAAGTTGTTAGTTCATTCAGTTACCAAGCTGGCTGCATAGTCATAATTCCAGGATTCAAGAGGCTGGAGAAAGAAGATCACTGCAAGTCTGGGTTGGCCTGGTGTACAGAGAAGGTCCAAGACAACTAGGACTAATGAGACTGCCCCCCCAAAAGAAATTATTTTGAAAGATTTATTTATTTATTATGCATATAGTATTCTGTCTGCATGTATGCCTGCAGGCCGGAAGAGGGCATCAGATCTCATTACAGATGGTTGTGAGCCACCATGTGGTTGCTGGGAATTGAACTCAAGAACTCTGAAAGACCAGCCAGTGTTCTTCACCACTGAGCCATCTCTCCAGCCACAAAAACAATTTCTAAAGAAAAAAAAATTGCATTTATGATCACAAGAAGGGGGAAAGAAAAAACAAAAACAAAAAACAAACCTGAGGTAGAGGCACAGGCAAGTGGATCTCTGTGAGTTCAAGGCCAGGCTGGTCTATATAGTGAGTTCATAGCCATCCAGGCCTCTATGGTGAGATGATGCTTTAAAAATACAAACAGACAACACACAGAGAGAGTTAGAGAGACAGAGATAGACAGACAGACACTGACTGACTCTTGGACTGAGGCAGGAGCATCTAGAGTTTCAGGCCAGTATGAATTAAAGAGTGAGGTCCTGTATCAAAACAAAACAAAACAAAAAGAAAAGACACCCCTCATACAGGCTGGTTTTGTGTGTCAACTTTACACAAGCTAAAGTCATCAGAGAGGAAGGAGCCTCAGCTGAGTAAAGACCTTCATGAGATGCAGCATTTTCTCAATTAGTGATCAATGGGGGAGGGTCCAGACCATGGCAGGTGGTGCCACACCCGGGCTGGCAGTCCTGGATTCTTTAAGAAAGCAGACTGAGCAAGCCAGTAAGCAGCACCCTCCATGGCCTCTGCATCAACTTCTACCTCCAGGTTTCTGCCCTGTTTGAATTCCTGTCCTGACTTCTTCAGTGATAAACAGCAATATGGAAGTGTAAGCCAGATAAACCCTTTCCTCCTCAACTTGCTTTTTGGTCATGGTGTTTCATTGAAACAATAGAAACCCTAACTAAGACACCCCTATGACTCAACAACAGCTGGCTATACCAACAATAGTGTTCTCTCTCATCAATGAGATATAATACCCAAGAACTGGTACAACCATATATTCTGTCAATTTGGGACAAAATCATACTTTGAAAATAAAAGCAGCTACTTTTAAGAGTCACTTATTTAAACAAAAAATAGACAACTTTACATTGGCTAGTAGAAACTTTTAATTTTTCCCATCTATGTCTTTTTTTCCCTACAATGTTTATTTGTACATGTGTGTGCATAAACAGGTGCCATAGCACATGTGTGTTGAGAATGTGTGTTTCCAGCATGCAGGTCCTGAGGATTGAACTCGGGCTTGCCGGAAAGCACCTTTAACTCATTAAGCCACCTCATGGGCCCAAACCTCTCTTCTGAAGCATCACTGGCTGAGATCTATACACATATGTCTGCACAGCCTTTCCTCCCAGTACTACTCTCCTATTAACGCCAGCCTTTCCTCCCAGTACTACTCTCCTATTAACGCCGACTTCTCCCAGCCTGCTATATCTACACCTGTTCCACAGTAGTGGTTCTATCATGCTTGACGTTTTTAATGCTTAAAAAGGATTCACCCATCTTGCTGTTCATGCTGACATCATCAATGAAAAAAAATAATCATGTCTGTATGCCACTCAATTCTTAAAATAAAAAATACAGTTGAAACCCACAGTTCCTTAACACCGAAGGATCCTAATATAATCCTATGTAATATAAAATAGTGGCTGAAACTCAGAATAGAAAATGGGTCTTGTAAAAAATAAAGTACATACAAGCAATAAAAAATTGTATATACAAGACTTTTATATATAGTGAGTTGGACTTGATGAATACATGGCATAAATTTATTGCTAATGTAAAATTATACTCACATATGGTGATATATATTTTATTTACATAAGCATAAGACTGTTCAGATCCTAACACTGTGATAGATTACTTATAAGAGTTAAGACTCCTATAGAATTGGTAATTAAGTTTACCTAAGAACACCATTAATTAGAAACAGCTCAAAACAGAACACAGAGTGTATCTGCAGGAACCCTGAGCACTCTACTCTGCCAGGAAGGAAAAGGAGGACAGGACATCAGATTGTAACACAGAAGAAAGCAACATCTTTAAAAGCATCCCAAGCACTGGGCAATGGTAGCTCATGCCTTTAGTTCCAGCACTTGGGAGGCAGAGGCAGGCGGATCGCTGTGAGTTAAAGGCCAGCATGGTCTACAGAGTAAGTTCCAGGACAGGCTCCAAAGCTACCCAGAGAAACCTGTCTTGAAAAACAAACATACAAACAAAAACCAAAAAAAAAAAAAAAAAATTAAAAACTACATGGATCACATCATCAATAGGAAATAATTCTTAAGGAAAAAAGGCAAGGAAGCTCTGGGTGCTGATCTGGAACTAGAGGTAATACCCAACTTGAAAACCCAGCTCTGCACACCAAAAATGGGGAAAATCCCACTTTGCAAAGGCACATTAGCCTATTCCACCCTCTTCAGTGGCCTCGGGAACCCTCAGGAGACTGACTGACACTTGCTAGGACAACTATAAGAAGCTGCGAACAACTTTGTGCACCTGAAAATAATGGAGTGCTTAAGGGATTATTTATTGTATGATGTTAAAAAGCATAGCATAGGCCACTGAAATTAGATTTCTTAAACTTACTTTTCTCTAAGCATACCAAATCTTTGTGTCAGGTGTCCAACTGCACTTGGTTACCCCACATGAACTGCTGAGCACCTCAAGGACACATGCAGGTTAGGAGCACAGCATTCCCAACTACCTACAAAACTCTGTCATCCAACTCCACACCCAGGTGCTGACCTAGGAATCGGAAATCCTAATCACACGTCATCAGAACTAAAAGGGTGGCAATAACAGCACAGTCCATTCACTCTGCAGATGAGCCATGGGAATCCAGAGAAGTCAAAAAAATGACTGGCACATACTCACGTGCCCACACAGCAGGTGGGAGGGCTACAGGGACATTCCAGGGCTCACGTAGCCTTGTCATACAAGCTAGCATGGCTTTGCTACTGTCAAGGTCAGGAGAGGAAATTGCAGGCATGCCCTTCTAGCTCCTAAACTGCTTTCCCCCAACACCTTAAGTTGGAGTCTACCTGTTTAGTGTCAGGGATTTTTACTTCATCATTTTTGAGTCTTTCTTCAAGGGCTGGCTGGCTCTGCCTCGGAGAAGCAATATCTATCCAAGGAATTCCTCTCAAACCCCAAAATCCATGATCTCCCTTCTATGTTTTCAATAACCTAAACTATAGTAGGCCTTAACAAGTCTTCAGATTATAATTACAGCGAATTAGCTCTTTCAATGGAGTAATAATTTCATGAGGTTACATTTAAGACAGTTTTGGTTTTTGTTGTTTTGTTTTTCAAGACAGGGTTTCTCTGTGTAGCTCTGGCTGTGCTGGAACATGCTCTGTAGATCAGGCTGGCCTCAAACTCACAGAGATCCATCCACCTGCCTCTGCCTCCCAAGTGCTGAGATTAAAGGCATGTGACACCACCACCCAGTGTAAACCCACATTTTTTTAATAATTTACTTTTAATTTTATGTGCATTGGTGTTTTGCCTATGTCTATGTGACAGTGTTGGATCCCCTGGAAGTGGAGTTACAGACAGTTGTGAGTTGCCACGTGGGTGCTGGGAACTGAACCCAGTTCCTCCTCTTAAAGAACAGCCAGTGGTCTTAACTGCTGAGCCATCTCTCTAGTCCTTAAACTCATATTTTTAACTCAAATGTATAAGAACTGCTGTGCTCTGAATATAAGACCCCCTCATGGCCTACCAATTAGAAAAATATATCTTCCTATAAAGGATCGAATGAAGTTAAGTAACAAAGTAGTCCTGGTAGAAAATATCTGTTATTTTAAAAAACAAAACCCACTTTAAAAGGCATTTGCAATTTTTTAAATTTGTTTGTTTGTTTTTGTTTTTTGTTTTTCGAGACAGGGTTTCTCTGTGGCTTTGGAGGCTGTCCTGGAACTAGCTGTTGTAGACCAGGCTGGTCTCGAACTCACAGAGATCCACCTGCCTCTGCCTCCCAAGTGCTGAGATTAAAGGCGTGCGCCACCAATGCCCGGCTCAATTTTTTAAATTTGTATTCATGTGTATGTGTGTGTACACATACCACAGAGCATGTGTGGAAGTCAGAGAACCACTCTCCACTGGGAAGAGTTGCTTCTCTCCTTCCAGCATATGGATCCTAGGCTAGAAGTCAGGTATGTGTTACCAAGCACCTTTACCAGATGAGCCTGTCACAGCCCTTCTACTGACATTTTAAACCTTGAATGTAAATGATCAAAAAAAAAACTCCATTCATCCAATATGCTCTATAAGTCTCAGGAAGAACATCTGTGAATGCCTC